TTTGTCCTGACTGGACAGTCTCTCATTATTTTTATATATTTTTTTACGTTAACTTGTTAAAGTGACGAATAATTGATATTGTAGAACCAACAGTCTGTTTTCGGCTAAATTTACCCAGAATGCTCAGTTTGTGTGGTTTAGATCAACTCGGCCATGTTCTCTCTCGGCAGATCAATGTTAGGAAATGATACCCATAAACATTGTTTTTTTTTTCTTTTCCACATCTGTGGAATTGAAAACTGAAGCCCAACATAAATCAGGAGCAAACGCTTTCAGCTCAAAGCACAAAATGTTTACGTCCTTTTCAGCCAAAGGAGTAGTTTCCTAAACAACGGTTTTCATTTTGTCCTGTAAAAACCCTGGACGTTTTTTCACCGTGCATGTGTTTCCCCACACGCCCGGCTCCAAGCGCCAGCCAGCGCCGACCACATCTTTCGCTTGTGCCCTCCCATCCCTCCTCCCGTCCCGCGGTGCTCCGGCTGCCGTGGAAACGCGGAGTTTAAACCATCATTATTTCAGGCCTGCGGTCTCCAGCGCAGCTGCTTGTAATAAAACGTGATCCTGAAGTGTGATGCCATGTTTCAACTGGGTCAAAACATGTTGTAGGCTACAAAGTACTGACTGCACTGCAGAGCTAAAAAATAAGAGTATCAAAGGTTTGATACTTCTGCTTTAAAAAGGAGTTGAAGCTGTAGTTGTAGTTTAAGTTTATCTCCACCAAGGAGTCAAACAAAGGGATTTAAATTCAGTGAAAAAGATGCTATTTTGCATGCTCAGCTTTTAAACCAGCATTTATTTTTCTTTGGAAACAGCACAACTTTACAGAAAACTCACATTTTATCCACTTTTGCTCACATATCATGTTCCTAACCAAGCAAGACTGATAAAAGGTTTTAATTGTAACATTAGCCACAATTAGCCACAGGCAAAGCTACAAAATATGTCCGGAAAAATTGACTTTTTGAGCTATTTTTGCATCTGTTTTATTTACTGTGTAACATAATGTTATTTTTAAATGAATCAAATCATGTTGTTGTTGTTAACACAAACATGTAAACATAAACATTTGTTTAACATACATGCTGTCTGGTTGTCCAGGAGTTCTTGTGTTTGTTTGTTTTTTTATTAGTTTCCTAAACAGGAAGGCTGCTGGATGGTTTCTACGGTCTTTGTTTTGTCAGAAATGTTTCCGTTTTATGCTAGCTGTGCTAGCACAGTAGCTTAATGATTTAATAACTTATAATAACTAATAATTTAATTTGACTAGCAGCCAATTAGAAAGATGAGCTTCTTGAAAAAAACATTTCAAGAAGCTATTTTAATTTATATATTTTAAAATTATGCTTTAAAAACTAATCAGAAAAACTTTGTAATTAAAAATGTATGGTTAAAAAATGTACTATATTTTGTTTTAGCATTTTTTCTCATTTTTCCTCCAAATTTCTGAGTCCCTCTTAGCGCCCTCTGGCGGCCCTGCATGGGACCGCGGCCCTCACTTTGATAAGTATCGCTGTTATGGTTCTGCTGTTGCTAAAATATGCTAGGATACAATATTTATAGCTAGAAAGTTGTTATGATCAACTGTTTATTCCATGTTCATTCCAGGTTTTCCATGAATAAATTACAGGGATTTACTGTCAATTAGAAAAGTCTCAGCTTTAAAATGTTTTATTTAGTCATATCTAAAGAATTTAAAACTGGTACAATGTTGTATTTTTTTTTCTGGCAGATTATCTCTGTTTCTGCCCACACTCGTCAAAATATTGTGATGTTAAAATAAAGGACTTTTACCAACAGGCATGCAGAGAAACGGAGGAGAAAACAGCAGATTTATTCAGCCGCCATGAGACATTTATTACATAAGGAGAATAAAGTCACTCTGTGGGTCCGTTCCTGCCAAGGAGGAACAGATTACATAACAAAAACAAAACTGAAAATACAAAAAAAAAAAAAAATTATCATCAGACACACACAAATCCCCCGTTCAAAACACAATAATCTATAAAATCATTGCAAATGAAGGCATGTAAAGCAATCAAGGGGGAAATTTTTATGTATTTTGATGATATATTCAAGGTTTGATCTGATAATAATAAAACATCATATTATATTCCAACAATTTTAAAATATAAATTCAGCCTTCTTCTTTTTGATGTTTGTTGAGCTCAGATAAAATCTCCAGGTTTCATTTGTTCCTCAAATCTACCAGAACTAAATCAGCAGACTGTCACCAGAACAACTGTTAATCTCTGTCCTGTTAGAGCTTGACGTTATGACTGTAAAACATCATGACTGTAAAACATATCATGATATAAGAGCTTTTGCATTAAATATCTGAAATGCAGCCAAACTGGTGCCGTAACGGTTCCTCTCTGATCAACAGCTTCACTCCATGCTGTTGTTTTTAAGCAGTTATGAGGCAAAGTGGGGGAACCTTAAACATTGTGTGCTTAGTAGCTGAAATTTGATGGACACCTCAAAGCCGAGCCTTCAGATGAAACAAGTTAAGTTTTTTTGATTATTTAAAAACACATTTAACTCACAAAGACTGACAGAAATCAGCTTTTTTGGGGGGAAGGGATATCAAATCATTCATAAAATAATCAATTTGAATCGATTATCTGGATGTTTTCTAAGCATGTAAACAGATTTTTCATTTATGGTGTGGACTGATTCTGAATTATGTGATCAATAGTTATTTATCAATATATGTGACCTTCTGACTACATCAATGGTATTTTAGAAAACAACAAAAAGCACAGGGATGGTTTCATAATAATGACGGAAGAGATAAACATCAAATTTCTGCTTCAAGGTGAGTCCGGAGGGGAAAGTGTTTCCAGTGTTGTTGGACTGTGAGGGTGGATGGGAACCAAACAGGAAGAGGAAGAGGAAGGGAGAAACTGTGGTCGAGATAAACAAAAGGAACTACACTTCAGCAGCCAGAGAATAGGTTAAAGTTTCCACAAATCAGAGAGGGGGGAAATGGAGATGGGGACAAAAGGTCGGCATGAATGTGAAAACTTTTCATCCGTTTGTTCTCCATGCTGGGGGAGTCTGGGAAGAGCCTTCAAGCTCACATGTGGCGTCCAAATGGGCCGGTCCAAAACGCTCTGCTATACGCAGCCAAAAGTATTCCAACTATTTATTGCATTAGTTCAGGCATCTTTGCTGAGGACTATCTAAATACTTCTGTAAAACCTTAAAAATTTTAACGGGAGGCTTCGAGGTCTGTTTCAAACATGTAGGTTTTGGGTGAAAACTTGGATTAAGAGTCTTTGTGAGCCACAAAAGGAACATAAGAGGCCATTTCTAAACTCACACAGCAAGAGGAATCAGATTTTCCCTTCAGCAGAAATTCACCATCGTTTGTGTCAACCACTGGGAGGAAGAGGACGGTTGCTATAACTACAGCAGAGACGGGAAGCAACACCGTGACTCAGTGATTTCCAGGGAAACCAGGGATTTTCCCCCAGGTAAGTTATTGATATGTTCATTACTTTGGAGTACTACAGCATGTATTTTTGCTTTGGTTTTTAACTTTAAAATGTTAATTTAAGGAGTTAGAAAACTTGTAGAAAAGTCAAATTAGCAATATTGAAAACTAGCTAGCAACTGCTAATTATTTGCGCTAAAGGGTTCCACATGTCGAAAGTCAAAAGACATGTCGCAAACACAACGCTTGACCAAAAATACATATATATGTTACAGTAATTACATGAAAACGTTTAATGCAAATAGGAATGTTAGGCTAACATTTGGTATTGTTACCAGTTGACATTTATCCAAAGCTCCAAAGAGTAGGGGCTCGAGCACTGAGCCCTGAGGTATTCCATGACTAACTATGGAGTGTGAGGAAACTTTGTCATTAATATGAAAAAATTCAAACCTGTCAGACAGATATGAGCACACCAGACTAGAACAGTTCTCTTGATCTGCAAAACATTTAAGTCTGTAAATAATATTATTAGGGACTGTCTCACCTTTTGTGCCACCATGAGTTCTCAGCTTCAATATGTCAGCTGAACTTGTATCTACTGTGGAAACAGGAATAATAAATATTGATTCAGTTTCAGCTCTTTTTATTTTTTGTCCATCTCCACAATGACATAGCAATGACTTGGTTATGTCATTGCTGTGTATTGCAACGACATAACGAACAAAAACCTTTTTTACAGGTTTAGCTCAACATTTTTATAGCAGTGGCTAACGAGGCTTTTAAACTACAACTTTTCCAATTTCCTGTAGTAGCTAGCTTTGTTGTAACTGCAATATCAACAGTTGTTAAACACCCTCTAATTATCTGCTCAAACATTTAAACGTTACCAAACAGTTCTGATTTATTATGACCACAAAATGTTCTCTCCTTTGTAGCTAGTCATGCTAATGCTAGCTCCTATTCAAACTGAAATGGAAGATTTGGTTGCAGATCTGGTAGTCTCTCCGTTTCCATGTTCCTCCAAAACAGTGTGACACCTGATAATTCTTGAATTATTAAAAAAATGTTCACCGCAGGGTTTCATTCAGTTTGAAACCACTTTTCATCTTGTAGCGGTTAGCTCTCTCTCAATCCCAACGCTAAAGAGTTGATTTCAGCTATAATTATTTTATTTTATTTTTTATTTTTGTCTGATTTTTATACCTCTTGATCTATTTTGGTAAACATTTTAATAATTCAAATTAAAGCAGTGGTAATACGAGCTTTAAATCACCAAGCTATATGACATGGCTAATCCTAGCTTCAATGTTAATTACTGTTTTTCAATTGAATATTATTTTGTAAGGAAAATAATGTTAAACTTCACTCCTATGGGAATGATAAAAGTTTGCCAAGAATTTATAGTTTTGTCTTTTCTGTGTGGTTCAATTACATGTTTGGACCAGAAATGAAAAATCACCCAATCTTTAATTTATAACATAAGTCTGGATTTTCACTCCTGTTAAATATGTAAAGGTTTCATACTTTGAAAATACAAGAACTTTAGTGACATGACATCCAGTGAACATATACATATTTTATTCTTCTTCTCTGTGTCTTTGTGGTGTTTTAATGAACTGTTGACACGTTTGGACCTTGATATAGGTACAAAATATAAAAGAAAAATAAAAAATATTTACATAAACCTTTTTCAATTATTAGAAAAATACTTGCTTCAAAGGGACTGTACAGTTTTATTTGGCACTGCACAAGATTTTATTCTTACAAAGCACTGTAATTAATCTATCTGATTAACCAAAAGGCATAAAACCTGAACAAATTTAATATATTTTGCTTTTTAAAAAATCATCTGAAGTAAATATTATAGCTCAAAGTGTCTCAAAATAGTTTCAGTTTCACAATATCTCAAAGTGTTCAAAACTTTGCGCAAGACATGAAATACAGAAATTTTGACATGTAAAAACTTAAAAGCCTAAAATCTAAAACAAAAATCTAAATAAGCAAAATAAGATAATCAGGATGGGGTGAGATACCAAAGAAACGAGCAATATAAATTCAACAAATATCACACATTAAATCCCCCAAAAACAGCATAAAATTACAAATAACACAGATTTTCTTTTAAGTCAAGCACTCACAACATAAAGCAGTCAAACTCTACGTTCGCTACCAGGTGCAGCATGAAATGTCTCAAAATACTAGAAATATCTTAAACATTGACGGCCGAAAAACATTTTTCTCGTCCCAAGCCATCACTGGAATGGGCCGAACATTTCTCTTTTTAGAGTGACATGAGATTAAAAGAGAACTTGCAGACATGTGGGTTGTTTATACTAAACTGGGAACACTATGACACACACATTCACATGTCTGTGCTTCTTTTCCACCTTTTTATAGGCCACCGCTGACATCATCCAGTCCCGCGACCTCAAATCTGTTTCTCTAAAGACAGAGGCCGAAGACTTACCATAAATGTCCACAAATAAAATTACTGACGTTCCCCACAATGTTCAGATATTAAAAGCACACACACACACACGTACACGCCTCCCCCTAAACACACACACACTCCAGTCCAGTGTATCAAAAAAAGAAAAGGGACTTTTCTGTCTCCTTAAAACAAGAGTCTGTCGTCACAGAGCACCCTGATGGTGACGACCAACCTGAAGGATTCTGGGAAATGAAGTCCAATGATGTCACCAGACGTCTAGCATTGGGGAGCAGCAGACAAAACACCAGGCGCTGAATAATACACTGCAAAAGCACAAAATCTTACCAAGTGTTGTTGTTCTACTGACATCTTAGTACACTTGAAATCCAACAAACTAACTTGTCAGGATGATATGGAAGCTTGTTTTAGGTCAATCTAGTTCCACTGATTGTTTCATTACTTTTTAAGGTAAAAATGAAATAATCTGCCAACAAAACCAGTTTTAAATAGTGAAAGAAAAGTTAGTTTTGTCTTATTTTAAGTGTACTAAGATATTGGAACCAGAAGCTAGTAGAAAGACTTAAGTCTGTTTTGCATTTTTTGCAGTGTAAGAGTTCAGAAGAATAAAACATCTAGAAAATTTAGAATCACCAGCAGTTAAATGCAGTGTTTATATTCCTGATTAGATTTATTTTTGATCATACAATAACGGTATGATCCATCTAATTTAATACTGATGAGAGACCTGGTGACAAATCAACCCCCAAAAATAACATTAGTGTAATTTTTGTCTGCCTACCTACTTTCAGACCTGACCAGGGCGAAAGAAACAAACAAAAAATATTAATATGATGATTACATTTGCTCAATAATTCTAAAATGCAGGTCAGAACGGTTCCGCTGTTGCTCAGTGACACTTCGGCAGGGCAGCAGAGTGGGATGAAGCCGTAAGCTGGATGATGGAGGACAGGCTCAGAGGTTCAGAGTGCGGAGGAGGTCAGTCAGCTGGTCTGAGTCAATTCAATACAATCCTGGACAAAAAAGACCCAGAGATTTAAAATTAAATCATTTAATGTGCAGTTAGCATGAAGGAAAGCAGTTATTTACTCCATTAGAGTCATAATCTAAGAGAAAGTTGATCCTGTGTAAGAGCCAATAAATCAAAAGGAGGCATAAATTTAACATTTTCAAACAATGAAACTCTATATCATTTAATTAATATCAAGGCATTTTGAGGTTTGATATTTTCCATGCACAAAACAGGGCAGTTCTTGTGTGTAGATCAAAATTAAAAACAAGAAGATGTTCCATTTTATGTGATTAATATCCAAACATCAGTCAGAAGAGGTTTCACTATTGTGGTTTTCAAACATAAAAATAAAAATGACTGACATTTTATGCACAAAAATAAACAACTTTCCAACCCCTGCAGCAGTTCCAGCTAGCACTACAATGCTAATATTATGACTGCATAACTGTTAGCTTGAACATAAGCAGGAATGATGAGTGAAATTAGTTTTTTTCTTTTTTCTTTCTGTCATATTTGACAGCAACAAATAAGTTTAAACAACCAGTTCTGTAGCTGCTAGTAGCAGCTAGCTTTGATGCTAATATTAGCATGCATGTAAACCGGAATGATAAATAATGACTCAGATTTTAGTTGTGTTGCTGTTTCACTTCTATCCTGCTCTATCCCAGTGCAACAACATACAGATTCTGTGTAGATATTTTAACTAAATGAAAATCGGAGCTTTAAATTACCTTATTTTACTAGCAGTGCTAACGCTAGCTTATGCATAATAATGATTTGGCTTCAGTTCTGCAAAAGAGTCACAGATGACATGCAAATTTTGTCTGAATGTGTAAAATATTTTGAGTTTTCAGTGTTTTTATAGAAACTCTTTTCTGAGACGAGCCGTTTTGTCCCGCAGCTACAAAAACGGTCACTGAAGCCTTCAGTTCCCTATACTTTGCTTATTATTTAATTTTTGGAGACCTAAATAAGATCTAATGGTTAAAAATTAGGAAAATTTTGCCAAAACGTCACACGGCTGTGATCAGACTGAGCGTCATCCCAGGTCAGAATTACTGAACAAATAATGAATCATAAGGTTTTAGAGTCACAATGCTTTCAACAGTTCTGCAGGTTGTAACACAGACTGAGTTACCCAACATTAATCTCGTCAGTTTTTTCTGCTCAGAGTGAGAGTTGTGTCCTTACCGGCTATAACAGGCTGTTCCTGCAGTTCATGTTGGGGCCTTTAGACCTCATCTGCTCCTGAACAGACCCTGACTGTTAAAAAAAACAAAACATTTAGTCACCCGGCAGGAGACACACAGCACATTAAACAATCCTCACAGCAATGGATAAAGATTTAAAAAATAGAAAACTAATTATTTTAGAAAAAAGTTAGATAATGCATGTTAGTTTATAACAAAATCTAAATTGGTAAGATAAAATATTTTAACTAAAACTGAACACTTAATGGACCAAACAAACTTTTACATACTTTTCATCAAAAGAAAATATACATATATTATTTAAAAGTCAATTTAAGACATCAACGAATAAACAAGTTTAACTTATTAAAAATAATAATTAATGAATATTTTACATATAACATGAATGCAGCAAGTGGTTTCTGGATGGACACTTGTCTTTTCCAGCAGCCATTGTACAGCACTGATCAAAACTGTTGGGAGTTCTGGTTGGGTTGCTAGGTAACGGTGAACTGCACTGCAAAAACACAGGAACTAGAGTAAAATTACTTGGTAGGATTTTGTGTTTTTGCAGTGTGAAAGTCAATTCTGACTTCAAGAGATTTTTGAAACGGCTCATTTTCCCAACACCAAAAAAAACATTAATTTATGTCTAAAAACAGCTGGTAGATTTTTTTTTTAGATTTTTGGTCTGTTTTTAGAAGCAGTGAAGACCAAAATGGAAGTATGAAAAAGCGAATTTTGCTTACAAAAATCCCCTTAAAGTAAGCTCCGGGTGGAAAAACGCAGTCATTAGTTTGATGTATTCTTGCATTCACACCAAACGACACTGGAGCAGGATTTCTAGGCTGGTCCAGAACAACCTCAGTGACCGCCAGAGTGGAGGCAGATTTCCACATGCCAGATGTAAGACAGAAAAGCCAAAATAGAAGCAGGAAGGATGCAGTGCCACAAGACACTTCCTGACACCCAGACACACAGAGAGCGCCTCTGTCCTCAGGCTGGACCGAAGCCTGTTGGCTGGGAAGCTGCACAGATTCACTTTTACTTTCTCTCCTGAGTTACAGTCACGTAAACCGTAAAGGTCAGAAATTGAAGCGGTGCCGTCTCACCGGCTGCAGGCCGTCTCCCATCTCCCCGGAGCCGATGTGCGTTAGGTGGATGAAGTTTGTCGGCGCGCCGATCATGCTGCGGTCGATCTTCCTCCTGTTCTTCTTCTGCACAGAGACAAAGATTTTTCACTTTAGATAAACAGTCGTTCTGTGGATCTGAAAGAGAAAGAAATCACGCTAGACTGTAACAAGCTCTTAACTGAAAACAACGCAGACAGATGGTGCACCTGCTGCTCTGCACTGCAAAAACACAAAATCCAACCGAGTGGTTTTCACCCAGTTTCTACCTGAAACAAGACTAAACTGAGTTTCAAGTAAATTACTCCTTCATATTCATTCATTTAAAAAGTACTAGCTCCCTGCGCGTCACCAAATTCTAGTTCCACTTACAAATTATTCACTTATAACCTGGGAAAATGTCTGCCAGCAATTTGGTTGCTAGGTGATGGGCTGAGCATGGCTGGTGTTGCTAGGTAACCGCACAGTGTCAGTTGTCAGTGTAACTTTTTTTTTTTAATTAATAGAAATGTTTTGCCTTAAGCTTATATCTTTCTGACAAGTGATTCGTAAGTTATCTTATCTCAAGTGTACTAAAATATTTCCGCTAGAATCAAATCCAAACACACATTTTTGCAGTGCGTGTGTCTTTATAGGTCTTAATGGACATTGAAGTTTTATCCTTTGTGCCTTTTTGTCGTCGCTCCGTTTCATTTTGTGTCTTTTTATATCTCAATTTTTAATGACTATATTTTAGTTTTCTCTGTATTTGTTTTAATTCTCACTCTTCTCTAAGATTTTGTGTTTTTGCGGTGCAACATAAAATGTTTCATTATGGAAGTAAAAAAAAAATTTTAATTTAAATTATTTGTATTTTTAGATTTTATGACAAATGAAAAAAATGAATTTGGTACAAAGTAGTAAAATATTAAGAAAGATACTTTTAAGAGCCTATTATATATTTCTATATAAAGATTTTGCAAAAGTATTTAGAGAAAAGCTCTTGTTTGTTGTTGTATTCATAATAAAAACAAACAATAAGGAAATGTTTTTTAAGAGCCACAGGTGCACTGCAAAAACATAAAATCTTACCAGGTATTTTAGGTCAGTTTGTAGTGTAATTATCTTAATACACTTGAAAAAAAAAATAATAAAAAAAAACTAACTTATAAAGAAGTTTTCAGCAATTTAGGAGATTGTTTTAAGTCAATATTTCTTAACATTGATATAAAATACATATTTCAAGTGTATTGAAATTAGACCAAAATTACTTGGTAAGTTTTTTGCAGTGTAGCGGGCCGCTGCCCTAATGTGACGATGCTGGTGTTGAAATACTTTCATATCTTTCTTATGCGTCTCTTTTGTTCCTCCGATGGTCTGTCCCTGATGCGTCTCCACATGTCCACATACTCTCAGTCTCAAATCACCACATTGAATCATGTAGGAACAGCAAAACGTGACGCAACAGACGGAGAACAAGGAAAAATCCCAGAGGAACCACGAGGCCTCGCGATAAAACAGGAGCATCGCACAACAGATTCTGCTTCAGAAATTACATCCAACACCTGGAATTAGGTTTAATTTAAGATTCCCTCAGAGTTCAGCTCCTTTTGGTGCATTCAGGGACACTCGGGAGTTCTGGGAATCAGCCAATGAAACCCCTCATTAAAACCTCGTTCGCCTCCTGAAGTCCAGTAAACCCCGCTGTGTGGAAACACATCCAAGCCGCAATCAAAACCATTTAGATGTGATTTAAGAGGCTTATGCTCGGGATTATCCAGAGCCTTTATGTAACCCAGCAGAACTAAAAGTGATGGGTGAACACAAGCGAGACGACAAGCCCTGAAGATCACACAAAGCCTGGAGCTGCAGTTCCTGGGATTATTTCAGACAATATATATTTTAAAAATACAGATACACTGATCATAAACTGGTTTGTCAAAGCTTAAGAAGAGATTCAAGAGGGAAGCAAACCCACAAATAAAACAATGTGAAGAAAATGCAAAAAAAAAAAAACAGCTGAGAAAAAAGAAAAATGCATCAAGAAGTTCAGGGCTGAAGGGGTTTGGACCCTGTTATACTCTAATGATGATATTAAGGGGCAGCGTTATGTCTTTCCAGCCACAAAGGACCATTTTGAAGCACAATCAAGTAACTATGTTACCCTCAGTTGTTATAAAACTAATTTCACTTTTTAAAAAATTAGACTTTTTAATTCAGTGCAACGAAATTAGGCCTCTGTCTCTTTAAAAGCTTCTGCTCTTCCTGAAACTCAGACTTCAGGAAGTCGTTACACTGAGAACAAGTTTAATGAGCTCGGCAGTCCCACCAGGTGTTTGCTAATTGCTGCTGGCTAGTCTGAAGGAGCTGAGTGGGGGACCTCAGCGCTGGGAGGTGAAAGCTTGTTAGCTGCAACTCGAAGGCGGAGCTAGGTCCACCTAAGGGACTAAAGGATTTCTCTGAAATGCATCGAAGAAGCGACGCTGCAGGGATGTTTTTGATGAGGGAACAACATGATGGCATGACGTGAAGCCCTTACATAATGCTGCCCCTTTAATTTCATTAGTGGTTCCAAATGTTTGAAGCCAGAGGGGAAAATTGCTGCGAGATGGAGACTCAGACCACACACTGCGGCGACTTCCTGCGTCCAACCAGCTGGGAGTGACTCACCGCTCGGCCTACAGGCGTCCTCCTCCACAGCTACAGCCGCCGCCATGGCAACAGCAATTAAAAAAAAAGCAACCGGGCATCGCAGATGGACAGACCGGGAGGAATTTGACTCTTAATTTCATCAGGACATGTGAGTCGGGTTGAGGTGCTGCAACAACGAGGAGCTGCAACTTTCAGCTCAGCAGTGACACAAACTCTCCTTACTTCTGTGAAGCTCTCTGTTTCAGATTTACTTGTGGTCATTTAGCATAATCTTGGGATTGCTCACACAGCTACGACTTTGCCAGATTTTAATGGCAGCAGTATGCTTTAAGATTCAACAAACTGAGGCCTAATCTAATCCTGGAGCAGTTTATGTTACGCAACACAGAGTCTGGCGCAATTAAAGCGGAGCGGCAGGAAAAAACGTCTCTCCTGGCAACCTTTGTGTTGGGCTGATAAACAGCTGCTTCTGCTGCATCCCAAATATCATCATCATGTAATCTGAGTCACCAGCATCAAAGGAACGAGCTGGAATTTCAAAATAAAAGCACGTCACAGACATATGGAGCTGATCCCGGTGCTATGTTATGTTTAACTCCATCAGCTGTTCAACAAATAATGTTGATGCATTCCACTTTACAGCCCATAACAGCTTACTGTGCATCACTATGACGGGCTGAGGTTCCCCTTTATGAGTCAGTTATCAATTTTACAAACCACAGAAGAAAAAAAACAAATAAAATCACAAAACATGAGGTGCAAATTGCAATAAAACCCACCAATAATATTACAAAGTGAAACTAAATACAGTTACATAATGCTGCCCCTTTAATTTTATTAAAGGGGCAGCATTAATGAAAGCGTTGCTTTCTAAATAATCTAGAAAGCAACGCAAGACAAAAAAAGTACAGTGAAAATTAAAATACAGAAAAGACAAAAATGTATTATTGTAGACTCTAAAAATTAAAATATAAAAGGAAAAGACACAAAAATGAAACAAAAAAAAAGACTCAAATGGGCAAAAAGGGTCATATAAGAGTTATAAAGACATACACTGTAAAAACTAAATCCTACCAAGTAATTTGTATCAGTCTTGAAATGAGCCAAAAACTAACTTACAAATAACTGTTAAGCAACATATAGGTTGCTAAAACAATGTTTTTAAAGTAAATAATTCCTTAATATTGATAAAAATAATCTACGGATTACACTGTGCCGTTACCTGGCAACCCCAGCCACGCTTAGCCCGTCACCTAGCAACCAGTTCTGGTTCCACTGGCAGATTATTTCACTTGTAACAGGACATTTTCCCATGTTATAAATGAAATAATCTCTACTTTTTCATCAATATTGAGGAATTATTCACTCTCTAAAACGTCACTTGTACGTTTGTTTTGTCTTTTGAAAGCGTAACAAGATATTTGCATTAAAAACTGGAGGAAAGAATAGTTGAAAATGTAATTGGAGGCGATTAAAAATGCTGGAAATGATAAAAAAGACAGTGGCATTGATTTCTTCCACATTATTTACTGGAACAGCTGCAGATCCTTAAAGAGAAACGTCTTTTTTGGCTCCGGAGTGAAGTCCCCGCTGGCTGCTGTGCGTCTCGGTGTGTTTGTTAAAGGTGTATTGTTGCAGCGGTACAATGGAACAAACAGAAAACTCTAAAAATACAGGCGGAGGAAGGAGGGAGGAGATCCCCAGAGAGAACCAGAGCTTCCTCCCAGCACCGCCAGCGTACTGTACGCTCAGTGTGACGGGACATGTGGCGGGGTTTCATGCCCATAGAGCCAGGGGCCCACACTAACTTCGCTAGCTATTTAGCACGTTAAACATTACAGTTCAGGAGAGATAGCTGTTATAAAATCATATTAAATTTTTAAATTTGAATTAGGTTTGTAATGACTTGGGTTGCTTTCACACCTGATAGTCCAGTAGACAGGGTTTGATTGGGAATCAAAGTTACAACATTTGTTGCATTTTCATTTGGTGCGGTTCACTTTCACACCAGACTCTGTCAAACAAATCAAATAAATGTGTTCTCCTCCTCGCCTGTGGTGGCGCTGCAACAAGAACTATTGAAGGAAACGACATAAAAACCGAAGAACACACTCAGCGCAACTTGCTTTTCCACAAAGTGAAGAACTGTCAGATTTTAGCAGTGGTAGGATTTTTCTTTTGTCTTTGGTAAAAGATCCATTTCTTCCACTAGCGCCAGACTAGCGTGTTTGTTTTGATTGTTTACCCAGAAATCCCTGCGCTATAGTCTGTCTTCTGAGCGGTCTCCAGTCCGCTTTCCATTCACATCAGAGTTCACTTTAATTGAACCAAGACCTTGATTTTTAGGCGGACCAGGATTAGCTTTCATGGTCCACATCAGAGTTCGACTACACATTCACACCTCTTCAAACGAACCGGACTTTCTTGAGTTCGATTAGAGCGGACCAAGCAGAGCTGGTATGAATGCACCCTTAGCCAAAAACTAATTTTACAAGATGAAACCTGCACAAAATATAACTTTAATCGATTCTAAACTAAAATTGAGTTGACACAGTTTCATTTGTTGTGGATTTCTGTCAGGCTGCACGTTGGTATCGCTGTTGCAGCAAGAAGGTCCTGAGTTTGTTCTCCGTGTGAATGCATGAGTTCTCTCCCGCTATCCAACTTCTTCCCACAGTCCCAGGTTAATAAGTTACTCTAACATGCTCTTATGCAGCAAAACCCAAACTCTTCCTAGGCATTTCTTGTCTAGTTTATAAATCAGATATTTTAGCACTTTGTAAAATAAGACAAAACTAACTTGCAAGAAAATCGTCAGCAAAATGCAGATAATTCCTCAATATTGATTTTTTAAAAGTCTTAGTTCCACTTGCAGTGATGTCACTTATAATCTGTTATAAGTGACAGATTATGGGAAAATGTTACAAGTGAAAGAATCTAGAATGTGGTTGCTCGGTTCAATAAAACAATTATTAACCCAATTTTGGTGCAACATTGATGCCAATAAAGCATGAAATTTGAATGAATGTACATCCACGTTTTCTTCTTGTCATTCTCAGCAACGCCTGAATCGTAATCAGGTGAATAAACATCAGAAGCTAAACATTTTCCACCCGCAGTGACTGCAGAATGACCTGGTCTGTTTCTGTACGCCGTTTTGGCTTGAAGTTTAAAAAGGGGGAACCGAGAGTCCGGTTCTGTTTTTGTTTTCTCACTGGTGAAGACATCGTGACGACATCTGTTGGAACAAATCCAGTCGCCATGTTTAGGGTTGAACTTCGTTTAGGTGAATCAACAGTCGCACCTCAGGTGAAGTTAGCATGAAAGCTTCCTCCCTTCTCATTACGTTCCCAAGTATTTATTCATACACAGGCTGAAAATGCACATTTAAGACTTATCATACAATAAACAAACCTTATGTGATGAGATCGGAGAAATGAGAAAAAAATGCAAACAAGCTATTTACTAATGTAACTATAATTTACCCAAATCATCTCTTTTTCTGAGAGCTTTTTTCCCCCTGTGGAACGTAACTCCAAATTATTTGTGGAAAATTCACCAATTGCAGTTTTAATAAAATATTCTTAAAATAACACACAATGTGCAAAGCTACTTGAGGCAACATTGGCTGTTCCTGTTCCTGGTGCTAACTGGTTGACCTGCAACAGCAGAAATAATAGCAGCAGCCCTCATATTTAGCTTCTAAAGCTAACCAGTTAAGTTTCCACCATGTGTGTTGATGGATATTATTTTGTGCTTGAACTATTGAATTAGGTAGTTATAAGTGTTTTTGGGAGAATCTCAAGTATTGTTACATTAGCGGTTAGCTTGATTAGCAACGTTAGCAACACTAAAAGCAATCAGTAGACTGAGCAAACTCTTGTCCTTTCTTTCAAGACTGCCAGGATTTCCTAATTCAGAATAATCTGAAAGGCAGAAATAGACTCCTCAAAACGATAAGAAACATGAAACATGAAACGATAAGAAACAGGAATCTGTTGAAACAAAGTTTCAACAGATTCCTGTAACTTCAGGCTGAAGGAAAGCTGACACAAAGTTATTTACTATCTGGTTTCCCCTCACAGAACTAAAAATAATCTTTTTCAGACATTTACACACCCAAGAGGTTCAGATCTGACCCAGTTATGCATAAAATCAGCTGATTACAAACAATTTCTTAGTGCATCTTCGTTGATAAAGTATCAATCTAATTGATAAAATCCAAGGTGGATAAAATCCAAGGTGTCAATCTAATGGATAAAATCCAATGGCTAACTTAAAATAATTTCCTGTTATCAAATATTCAGGGCTTTCGCTGTATGTGTATTACATATTTAAATATTTTTTAAACTAAGTATTTTCTAAATAAATATTTAGTTTCTAACTAAATTTTTATTTTTCAAAATAAATATTTAGCTAAGATCTAAACATTTATTTGTGAACTAAATATTTAGCTTTCTAACTGAATATTTAATTTGAATCCTAAATATGTAGCTTGCAAAATTAAATATTTAGCTTTATCACTAAATATTCTAAAGCTTTAGAACTAAAGCTAATATTTAGCTTTAGCAATGAAGCACTAAAGCTAATATTTAGCGTAAAAAATTTCAGTTTGTAAACTAAATATGTAGCTTGCATTTAATCTGTTAATTTTTTACAGTGTAACTGTAAAATGGGTTCCCATGCGGCTCGGAACCAGAGGTGTCGGTTTCTCACCGGAGGAGGCTTGGCTACCACGCAGCAGCCCATCTTGTGCCAGAAGTCGCTCATGCCGACGGTCTGCCTGTCCAGCGGCTGGCCGGTGCTCTCTGCTGCCGCCCTGCAGGCCCGAGAAGGAACTGCAGTCTGTGGGTAATCCTGGGGCATCCAGACAAAAAGCCACACAAATGTAGACAGTCAGAGGGTAAAACCCTGAAGAACCCCCACCGTAGATTAAAAAATAAAACTCTACAGGTGGACTCCAGGGGCTTCAGATGGGAAAAAAAGAAAATCCACAAATTTCCTCAGGAGAAAAATCCTCACCGGCAGAAAATGCAAATTAAAATTTACTCCTCAGAAGATTCAAATGTAGGAATCCAAACTTCCTGCAAAGACAGAAAAAAAAAAACATTACAACCTTTTTCTTTTTCCAGATTCAGGACATTAAATTATTGTGTCTCATTATAAATTTAATCCTCTGGTTGTTTAAATTCGTCTTTCGCAACCAGACTGAAAGTTGCTCCTTTCATTTATCACATTATTTCAGTGCCTCAGCGGCCAGGAATCATTTCAATGCCTCTGCGGTTTTCCACCTCAAAAGACTCAAACGGGCCTCAAGTTTCCAAATCACCACAATCTGCAATCTTTAAATTGCTCCACATTAGATTGCTGCATCTGCTGGTGAGGCAACGCGATAACGGTTTGATTCAGCTTTCTAAACAGCCAGACTTTTATCTAACCTTCAGTTATTTTCTTTAAAAACCGCCTGAAATCAAAGCCTCGATGCAGAGCAGAGCTGCAGATCCATGAAGATACCAAATAAGGCGAAACTCGTATGTGATTACATTTTTTAGATGCTTAAATAGCACTTATGGTCCAAAAATCACCACATTTCCAGGAGGAAGCCTGAAACATGAGCAAAGTCTCCTGAAAACGTCCAGGCAGTCTGTCATTGGGTTGCATGGGAACCGAACCCTGCGAGACGTCAACACGGCAGCAACATTAAGCGTGACTAAACATTAGGTGTGGTCCAAACACGAAGCAGCAGGAAGTCACACAAACAGACACGCAACGCAAACCAGGAGCTGCAGAAGCAGCGGCGGTTCCGACCAGAAAACTCCTCAGGCTGAGCATCACTAATCCAACAAACATCCAGGAGCCGACGGCCTGAAACCACCCAAAATAACACAGCATGCTCATTAAAATCTAAATACCAAACTCTGTTCTTTGAACAGATTCTGATGCAAAACGTTTCAACATTAAAATAAAAAAAGAAATGATTCTTTACGTGTTGTGTGCATTAATTACATTTATAACTTAGAAGCACAACAACAGAAAAAACATTAAATATAAACATAATCCACTCATTTCTATGGACTTAACTATTTAATTTAAATTGTGTTAATGTTAATAAATGTTGAGGTAGCACCTCTAAGCACCAGTTTATGCAGCAGATAAAATATATGAGGGTTTATTTATTTAAACAAAATAAGCAAGAATATTCTACTTTAACCAACAGGGAAATTGTTTGCAGTACCAGCTGTCCAGCCCGATGAGGGCAGCACTGAGCCGGTTTGAGGCTAAATATTGCAAATATTACAAAATGTTTTTTACAATTTACGCAGTAAAATAAAGAGAGCAGCAGTTAGGACCAATTTGTACAACTTATCTGCAATAAGTTACTCGTCAAACAAAATAAATTACTGCTTTTATTGCTTAGAAAATAAATAAATACTGTGAAATGTTAAAAAAACAAACATTTGCAAAGATCAGCTTTCATCAGGCACCTAATGTGCAACTACAGGCATCAAGTGTAAAAATGATTCATCAACCAGAACCTGTGCCTTCAGGCCAGAGTTTGTTTATGGCACTAAGTGTTGGAAATCAGTGGGACACGATGCTGGTGGCTGATCTGGATCACAATTATCTTCCCCTGATGTTGTGTCGTATATCTGTGGGTTGATTAAGGAGAATAAATCTGTTTTTTGTTTGGGAGGCGTTCGCTGCGTCCCAATCAAAAACTCTTAACTGCGTCTATTCTGAGTCAGTCAGAAAAATATCTGGAGTCCCTCCAACACATTTCAGCGGATGATAAGGGAGGAATGTGGAGGCCAGAAACATGTAGCTTCATGCTTGACATCCACAAAGATCAGCAGAGAGGAATTCAGCCTGAGGGGTCGGCTTCGCCAAGGAGAGGACTTCCTGTTTGGGAATCAAACGGTTCATCAAACTGAGGACCGAAAGGTCTGACCGTCTCCACCAAACAAATTAAATTATTTTCCATTTTGACAGCTTGGTTCCTCCATCAGCTTTTTTCATCTGGACTCAGACAAACACTCAGATCCGGTGTTGTCTGAGCGAGCCGTCACTCGAAGAACATTCCACACATCAGAGCTTAATCTGACATAAATAACTCAGACCGTCATTTCGACACATCGGGGCAGAAAACGCGGGACGGTTTTACCTCCGTCTGAATCGCTGCTGCAAACGTGTTCACCTCCGGAAGACAACCAGACAAACTCTGGTGGGCGGAAAGAATAAAAACTGCATTTTGTTTTGCAAAATTTGAATGTAGATTCACAAAAGCTTTCGTCTCTTCAGTTTTTCTGCACTGTAAAAACTCAAAGTTTGACCAACTACATTTTGTCTAGTTGAAATAACACAAAATTAACTTATGAATTAACTTTTCAGCAACGTGTAGTAGCTTGTTTTATGTAAATAATTCCTTAATGTTGACAAAAAAAAAAAAAAAAAAAACGGTGTAGCTCCAGAGCCGTTACCTAGCAACCCCAGCCAAGCCCGGCTGTCACCTAGCAACCAGCTTTATTTGGCGGTAAAGTATTTTTCCATAAATATTGACCAATTACTTACGAAAACCAAGCTCCTGAATCTCACATAATGTCACTGATGAGGTAGTTTTGTCTCGTTTCAAGTGCATTGAAACGAGATTTTGTATTTTTCCACTGAGGCAGCAGCCAAATTCTGCTGCAAGTTAAATATTAATGCAAACAAAAGAAGACATTGACAAGACAGGAGAAAAAGGAACCAGAGACTCAATAGGGCGTCAGAATTTGAAGTGAAGTAAGTATTCAGGACTTTGCATTTCGGCGTCTGCGGTGGACAGACGGACAGACGAATGGCCGTTCATGAGTATAAGCAGCACAATGGTGCAAACTCAGCCTAAACTTCCTGTCCGGCAGTCTGTTTGTGAGGCGCTATAATAAATTTTGTCCCATTACATCACTGGGAGGAGGTAAAACTGCTCCTCCCCCCCCATTGTGTTGTTTGCAGGTGGCAGGATCCACAGTCTGCACAGAAAACTTGATTCTCATTTATTTATTTGGCTTTGCTGCCGATCTACAGTTCTCCCGCCTTTCTGAAGGTCTTTGACTCCAAAACCAAATGATTTCCTAAACCAAAAGTGACTATAAAAACTATTTTTAAAAATATTTAAGGTAACTGTGACTTTGTCGCAGTAATTATTCTCCCACAAGCACAAATAGTGCTGCTGCAGCACATTCCCATTTGTAACACACTTCTTTGGGACACGCAGAAATATGTTTTATATAATTAAACTGCATAAAGTAACTGCATTTAATCATAATCATCTTGTCCCGATAAGCTGCTGTTGGGCCAGAATTATACAACCGTACATCTTTGAAAAGCAGAAGTGGAGCCTCCTGCACAACCAACAAGAAGGCAGGAAGTTGCTTTCTGGATGGTAAGTCAACAACAAAAACACTCGTCACTCGTGCTGGAGCGTGTTTGGGTTGCTAGGTAACAGGCTGGGATTGGCTGGTGTTGCTAGGTAACGCCGCAGAGCTGTTGAATGCGACTTTAACAATCGGAAGATTTTGAAACGGCTCATTTTTCAAACCCCGAAAACAATAAATTATTGCCAAAACACAGCCAGGTGGTTTTTGGAAACCCAAAAGGAAGAAAATAAAAAATAAACAAACATATAAAACGTCAGACATGAAACATTTTGTCTGGCTGTTTGAAATATTTATTCAACAAATACAGACAATATAAGATTCATGCTTAAAATACATGATTATCTACTTTTCTTGCGTCTATATTCCAGTTTTTGTGACAGTCCAAAAATATTCAAACAACCGAAAGAACAAAGAAAACAAAAAGCCGCGGTCGCCACCGGCCTGCTGATGTGAGAGCAGCTGAGCGCCGATCAGCCGGAGGGGAGAATCAGCTGAAGCGTCACAAGACGACAACAACAGCCCGTCTGTTGGAGACGAGCGGTCACACGATCACACTTCAAGCAGACGGGAGAGAAACGCTTATTTACACAAGACGGCCGAGACGTCTGACCTCTGAGTTTCACAACGACCCTGTGAACTTGATGACTGGCGTCAGAAAAGCCTGCAGGCAGAAAACCTGAAAACTGAGACTGTCGTCCTCTGCTCTGTGGGAATTAGTCACATCTGCACTGAAAGACTCTAATGAATAAGTTAAAGTCTAAGAAATTAATGTTAAGTTAAAACCCAAAGCAAATACATTCTAGAGTTTCATTATCAATTTTAATGTCAAATCATGAACATGACAGTGAACAAATCTGAGGAATTGCTGCCAAAATAAATAATATAAAAAATAAAAAGCCTTTGTGTAAAACATGGAATATTTAAATAACAGGGACTGAGCTGTTATTCTGCTCCACTTCCTCCTTTATAGACATGGTCACACTTCCTGCTTCAGTTTATCTGAGATCTGGCTGCGATAAGACAAAAAAAAAAAAAACAACCAGCTGGATAAAAAAAGAAATGGGTTCAGATTAAAGAAGAACAAAAACGATGGATCCAGGAAAACCAGGTTTCACAAAATCTCCTTATCGCTGCTTTTCAAGAAGCTATAAAATCCTCTCAGGAATTCAGAATGATTGACTATTTTAGTTTTATAATGTACAACTACATAAACTTAAAGAATTAACCAGAATATTTCAGTCTTTTCATCAACTCCTGTTGTTTTTTGTTCTTTATTACATATCTTTTTCGACATTTTTGGCATCCCGTATAGAGAATTTTGTTTTACAAATATTTCAAGATAAAGTATTAATTATGATCTGAATTTTATTAATTCGTGTCAACCTGAAGAGTTTTCACTGTTTCAGGACATTTACCTGGAAAATATAACAGGTTTTGTTGTAGTTATTTAGACTTTTACTCAAGTACAAGTCCTGAAAAACAACAACGAAATTTCATAGAAAGCAACTCTGTACCTTGACTATAGTTATTATTATTTGCATTTACATATTTTCCATTACTTTTTATTTAAAAGAACAATCATTGTTGATGTTACGACTTTTTGTTTTGCATTTTTGAGTGAAACTCTTCCTCAAACCGTTAGACTCTTTTACTGGCACCACTTGAAAGGC